GGGTGTGAGGGTCGTGAGCGTGAGTGAAGTACTGAAGGCGAGTGTGACTGAGGATGAGGGTGAGTGAGGGGCTGAGGGTGAGTGTAGCTGTGAGGGTGAGGGTGAATGAGGGGCTGAGGTAAGTGTGACTGTGAGGGTGAGTGAGAGCGACCTAAAATGCCGACCTCTGCTCTTCAGGTCCCGAAAACGGGAAAAGGAAGGGCTGTGTTCGAAATCTTACCCAAATAGATTCGAGTCACTCCTGCGGGTTGTGTCACCTAATAACACAGATAGAATGACGCTGTTTCGAACACAAGGCACAAAACCCTTACCCCGAAGTAAGACCGAATAAATTTTAAAACAAGACCCAGGATACGAGAGCCTGGCAGAACAGACGCACAGCATTGGCAGGTGGCGTGGGACGTCAAGTCTGACGAGCACCGAGGTCACCGAAAAGTGGAGGAAGTGAGGAGGAAAAACGTGATGTTCGCTCGGTGGTGTGCAAACAGACATCGGACTGCCAGATGCTTCAACTCGCACGATTTTTGAGGGAGTCGTGTAGCCTCACGATTTCTGAAGTGTCCTGTTTGGGCAGGCCTTAATACCGCTTGAGAAACAAGTGGCGTCCAAGACAATGCTCTCAAGAGAACTGTTGCAAAGCTTCACAGTGGGAGCTCCCAGATCTCTCGCACGGTAAGAGCACTCTCCTCTGGTCACCATATGAAGGTCCAAGAGGGACATTCAGGCTGGCCCAAACTGGGTTATCATTGGCCATCTCAAGCACTCTTTCTGCCAACCTTTTCACACCTCTCACCTCAAAGGATGTATTACCTAACTCCCAAATCACTAGACTTTAGAGACGGCTACCATGTAACCTTTACCAGGTACACTTGTTCATTCTTCTCAAACCTATCCCCCTATGAGAAATATATTTTTAGAAAATTGCAAATGAACTTTCCAATTGAAAAAAAGAACACTACAATGCGAGTCTTGCATCACGATGGCTACGTTTACATGGATGCGACAGCAGCACATCTGATCCAGTTAGCGAATCGGATTCACTTCAACCACTAAGTTTACATGGATACAGATCGACCAGCAGCGGCACCTCGTGTCGAAGGATCACAACGCAAACCTCGTGACCTTCAGATTGTTTTCAAGGTCTCCGGTTTGCCTAGCGGCAGGCGAAGCAAAGCTCCCGTAATCCCTCGCTCAAGCACTTGATTCGATCCGCTAGCGTATACATGGAGAGTCTCGATTCGGATTGACCATCTCAAACCACCCCGTCCCAGCGGATTGGATCCGATCCCATCCGATCCGAGTTGTTTGCATGGACCATTTCGATTCGGTAACTGGATCCGATGCGCTGCAGTCGCATCCATGTAAACGTAGCCAATGTCACTATACAAAAGCTCTCGTATGAAAGTGTTTTTTTCGAGCCCTATCAAATATGCCTATGTCCCGTGTGAGTCGAGCGGCCAAGCAACAGACGCTTTGCTCGGCCGCAGCAGACGCTGCAAGAACTGCAAGAACTACAAATTACCGAAAACGTGTTTTCTTCTGTCATCAAAAAAAAAAATGCTAACATGTTTAAAGTTTAAGATATAACTTGAACAACAAACCATACGAGACATCCGATGTTCACAGAGAATAAGGTCCTATGGCAACACTGGTTCACACTGTAGATGAGGAAGGAGCATTGGTATAATTCATGGGGGAGCTCGTTGTTAACCGTGGCTAGAACGGAAGTATTGAGAACCAGGACATATAGGACAAAGTATGAGCAAATTGATATGCGGTGTGCCGTATGCCGAGGGGAAGACGAGACAATAGAACATGTGGTGTTGATATGCACAGGGCTGGCTCTCACCCTCCCAGAGGGGGCAACAGATTTCGCCAGTGTGCTGGGGTGTGCAGACGAGAATGGAAAAATGGAGAAGTCAATTTTATAACAAAGAAGAGATTAGAAAACTAGTAGAAATTATCTCGGAAGAATTGAATGACGTACAACTAACTGACACAGCTGGGGACAGGCGGGACAGAGGAATATTGGGACTCCCTCTTGCATGGCACTGGCCCGAAGTATCGACCTGTCTTCCAGAGGGCCCGGTGCTGGGTAACGCCGAATAGCTTTGACCAGAGGAAAAAGCAGTAAGTGATGTTCTTATTTTTTCATTTTTTTTTTTTTTTGCCCGACCCCCTAAAGGTCATTTTGGTGATATCCCACACAGCCTGGTGATATCCCACACAGCCTGGCGATAGTTTCGAAATTGCAGAGGTTAAGCAAATTGGCGAAGGAAACAAATCATACTTTTGGTTCTTAATTTCTAGGCTAGGAGACGCAAGCTACCGCTCGTTATAAAGGATACAGCCGTTAGCATCCATCCATCTATCCATGAGAATTGTAGCCAGTGCGGTATGCATGCTTGTCTGGGGTTTTTATCCTGCACCCCGTCGCAGTGGTACACGAATGCACGTCCAGATCGAAATGGGGACTAAACCCAGGGCTGCTGCAGAACCCACATCCCCACCCCCCAAACTTAAATCAGCATGCTGAACTTAATCAGACATGTGAAACAGCCATAGGTGCCTCCCTATCCCATTGCAATGGTGATTTCCAGTACCAAGATGGAAATTACCATTACTGCTTCCAGAGCCATGCATCTATCATCTGCACCTATAGTTGGTGACAGGTTAAATGTGCATTCCCACCGGCGATGCGATCTAGTCGCGCAATCACTTTCATCACAAAAGCGACCATCGCAGGCAAAAAAGTAACGCGATTTGAGCAGCCACTTGCTGACCCGACTTTTTGCGATATGATCTAGTCGCAGAGCAGCTGAGCCAATCAACAGCATTTGGATCGAGAGTTTTCGAGAACGACTCGCCTGCGAAGGCGTTGGACTCGCTCATCGCGCACGCCAGTGTGACCATCTAACTTTTTTGCGACGCGACCTAGTCACATCGCGCAACTGCTTACATTGCTGGTGTGAATGCACCTTAAGAGTTTAGGGGACACTTGTCCCATCTCTTTCGACTTAAGCAGAATGAATGCTGGAGAGAAAGTCGTCTGCTCTCCAGCATTCCGTCTGCTAAAGTGGAAAGAGGTGGGACGAGTTTCACCTCAACTCATACCTGCAACCGACTATTGGGGAAAAGATCGAACAGTCACGCCTCTAGCGGTAGGCTTCAGCTGGGGGGACAACAAACCATATTTTCTTGTTTGTTTTTGATCAGATATTGAAGATGACGATTCGAAGACAGCTCCTCGTGTGACCAAAAAAGCACTGGTCAGAGTGAAGCACTCGTCCCCAGACAATGCAAGGCGAGCTTCAATTACATTGTTATGCTGCATTAGTAAACACCGGGTTGTGGGGACAACAAGCTCGATAAAGTGCCCCTATAGTTTGATCTCCTGCCCAAAAGGTGAAGATGCTTCGTGGTTCTAGATCCACCTCTTAATCTGACAAAATTGACACTCTTTGTTCAGCAGGAACTTGGCCATTTACGTGCTAGAGAGGACAGTACAATAAAATCTGTCGTACCTTCAACCCCCACTGGCTTAGAAAGCAGCCAAGTGCAACAATTGCACTCATCATTTGCAATGCCAGGTGTGTATGAAAATTTGCTCCAGCTCTTTGTCCCAAATATTCCAAGCTGTTCTAAGAGAAGCAGTTCATCTCCTGTGTCATTTGGATCCTGTACTGGTGGAGAAACCCCGAGACTAGGGAGAGAAGACGGGGGTTGATCTGACTGGCAAACCAATTAAGATCACCAACACTTCTGCTCATCTCCTCATCTGGGGAATACATTATAGAGAATTAAAAACCCCAAGGACTAGAAGGACTTACACCACAAAGTGCATCTGGGGCTTGCTGTCATAGGGCAAACCAGCTGCGAACTCCATTCCTCGCTCTTCAGCTGTGCTGGATTTTAGAAATAAAAAGCCAGCAGCTCTTGAAGCTAATCAGCAGAAAAGCAAGCCACCGAAGAGGCCCTGGCGGTATCCCGCTGACGTGACCAATCCAAGACCTTCACTACGCTTGGTGGGCGACCAGAGTCGCCGTCGGAACTGTACCCGAAATCGAGCAACACAGGAGCCCCAGGCATACCGGGCTGTCCCACAACATGCATGGACAGGCCCACAGGCCACACGAGCCTCTCGGGGGGTTTTCACTGCACTCACTGGGTGAAAGCACTGCAGTAACCTCATGCCGACAGTCGGCACGGCATACGAAATGTCAGAACAGCCAGGAACAAGGCAACGTGTGTGCACGCCACACGGCCACTGGTTTTGCACGCACCAACCGTAGCAACCAACAATGCCTGTCAGGTCAGCTCAAGCCGCGACATAAAAAAAAACGGTAGAACCACTATAGCACGGGTCTAAAAAGCACGCCTTTCGGACCCGTGCTTTAGCCGGTCAATCGATTATGGAGAGAGAGTAACCAGGAAACTGCCAATGTCAAAGGAGGTGCTATGAAGCCGCGGCTGAAGATGCTAAATTTGAGGAGGGTGACCGACCAAGCCTCTTTAACGGTGTCATGAGCTGCTTTGACTAGGAATACTCGCTGCTATCTCGTTGTCGCCAGTGAGATGGAACGTAATGATATTTTCGCTCCGAAAGTGCAAACCAACGTCAAGCGCGCTTAAACACACGAGAGGGCGTTAGAAGGAGTTCGCAAAGACTGCATTTCACCAAGACCACCCTGCAACGAACAAATTCCCATCTATTCGAGCGTTCCGATCAAAAGCGACGACAAAACGAACGCTTTCATGGGGAAACGAGACGCAAGCGACGGATAGAAAGGGCAAAACAAAAAAACAAACAAAAAAAACTCGCCGTCGGAAAGCAATGGTTGGCCGAGCAGCAGCCGCACTAAGCCTAAGCGGCGGTCTACTCCGCTTCATGACATGGAAAGCCGGTCATTTCGCGTTCAGACGCGCTCCGTCCGTCTCACAAGCCACAAACTACGATTAATGATTCGTTCGTGCTCTATCGGGAACCTGAGGTGACTCACGTTTGGGCCGAAAAACCCTCCGGTCGGCTCACAGAGACGGCGGCACTTCGAGCTGACGACCAGCCCTGCGTACTCTAGCAACCGCGCCAGAATGAATACCAAGATGGCGCCCGCTGGTCACGTGACGTGGCCAGTTAATTTTCGCTGTTTTCTATTTAATGCCGTCTGTACATTCACGCCTGGAATTGAAGTAGCTTCTGTTCCACGGTTGGTTACCAACGCTCTCTCGGGGCCAGTTGTCAAAGGTCCCCGTAGGATATGCCGGCAAAACAGCCCTCCTCCCCTCGGTCCCGGATGAAATGGACTCGCCCAATGGCGAAGAATGTTCCTCCGTGGAGGGCCCTGACACTTCCGGAAGGTTGAGGAGCAATCTTACTGGCGGACGCGTCAATGGCGCTTCGGGGGGGAGGGGGGGGGGGGGGTACCAGCGCTGTGGGGCCAGCGCTGTGGGGCGTTTGATGACCTGGACAGAACATAGAGAAGAGCCGTTTGGGTCCACATAAACTGTGCTCGGAAGTACCAGCTGCTATATATTAACCAGTCCTAGTTCTTTCTATGCCGAATGGACCCCCGACTATGGCCTCTGAAGCCCTGAACATAACTATCAGGTGGTCCCTTTTGGCACGGACAAGCACTTGCTGACTCAGCTGCCAAAGCGGTTGCTGTCAGCTAGTCTTCTCTGGTACAAGTCGGCGACAGGGGAGGTTGTCTGTAGATTCCCTCGGGTCTTGGAATAGTCTTGAGGAAACTAGTGCTACGGTACGGCCGAGTGCCCTGATGAGTAAGGAAGGAGTAGAAGAACATATAGCCACGTTGAAGAAAGCGTGATTATTCCATTTTGATGGCGTTATGTAAAAGACAGCTTCAATTAAGGACGTTTCACTCTGACTCTGCAATGGCCTGCAATTTGTTGCCAAGTGGTTTATCTAGCTTCCAAGAGAACACTTCGGTAGGTGGCACGCAGACGTATGTTTTCATACCTAGGTACAAAATAAAATAGCGCGAAATAGACAAGAAGAGAGTAGACAGGACAGGCGCTAGTCCTTTTTTGCGCTATTTTCTTTTGTACTTAAATGTGCACCAATTAGCACCCGCCCTGTCTACTCTCTTGTCCTTGTATTTTTTGCGCTGTTTTATTTCACACCAAAATATGCAAAAACTAGCCCAGCAACGTGCGTTACTGGAGTAGCTTTTCTACGCTTGGAATATCTATCGCCTCGCCTAATCGACGGCCCTAGTTTGTCTGAGGGGACCCCCTAAAAAAAATCTTCCGCTGGAAAAAAAAAAAAGTAATATAATATATTGCGCGAAACCTTTGTTTTCTTGAGCGCACTGGCTGAAAAGTGGTTCCCCTATGGAGCTAACGTCACAGTGGCATCAGAGCACGAGCCGTTTCGTCGCCTCTCCTCCGCGCTGCTTAGCTCCTTGGCTCCTCCTCCCATCGACGTGAAGGAGAACGGGGAGGTTTGCCCGTTGAATATATATTCGTTATTGGCATTCGTTGCGGTATAACAGTATTGACGCGGTGACTGATGTTTTCTGGCGCTGCCTTTGGCTTTATATTCCTAACGAGCGTGTTGGTACGATGTACTAGATAACAGAAAGTATAAAACAGAGAGAGGACGAAACACAGACGAGTAAATGTACTCGTCTGTGTTTCGTCCTCTCTCTGTTTTATACTTTCTGTTATCTAGTACTTTGGCTTTACTTTCTGCATTCTTCATTAAATCTTTAAACTGCCACGTTGAATGTAGGGTTCCAGGACGTCTGTCGGGCACCACCCTTGCATCTCTGTCCACAAGCAGAAAAAAAAAAAAAAACAGCGAAAAAAGAGTGAAATAAATAGCGAAAAAAATTGATTTAGACACCCCTCTAATTTTAATTCCTGGGGAAACCCCTGACGGGGACAGAGGTCCTAGCGTCTTTCTGCGAGCACGTGTCGCAAGACGTCCGTCTTGACCAAGCCTTCAGACTCCTGTCTTTCATTCTGATCGAATGCTATTTTATACACCACAGAGGAAGTCTAAGCACATGCATGAGCACATTTAAGTGTGTGCTTAGCATAAATTATTGGACTCTTTAAGTATGAATGGGTAGTTCCTGTAGAGAGTAACTCTACACTGCAAGTGGGGACTAGGTAGTGGAGTAACTGGTTGCTTTACACCAGTGCAAGTACCAGGGACACCTGGATTCGAGTCTGTGCAACACTTTCAGGAACGAAAGATGGCACATCGCAGCTGCAGTCTTTGTTCCCATGTTTCCTTGAGCAGCAAGAGCACTCGGGGTTCAGGGCCCTATTACATTTAACGGTGACGCAAGGAATGAACAAATTTCGAACGGCACAGGCCGGCGTTCCGCGTTTTAACGGCTTCGACGAGTGTGGCAGAGACAAAGGCCACTAATCGACCCCCACGAATCATTCCAACCAGATTTCGGACGTCTCTTCCTCTCCCTCAGTTTCTCCCTCCATAACCATTTTTGTTATTATAACAATAGAGAAAAACAACGCGCAATTAACATGTGTTTTTTTTTCAACTTTTTTTTCAGGGGGGGGGGGGGGGGGGGAGGGGGGGGGGGAAGGGGGGGGGAAGGGGGGGAGGGGGTGGAGGGGTGAATGTAAACGAGCGTCAGAGATGGGACGACACCCTCTTTGATGCCTCACTAAAACTCATGGAAACTACAACCCAATACCATACCTAGGAAGACGTCAAAGAAAAAACTGGAAGAGGAGGGAAGGAGAGCGGCAGGCTTACTTGACACTTCCGAGAAAGATCAACTCGCAGAGATGCACTTCTATTAAGAGAGGTCGCGTCTTATCAGGAACATCAAATGAACCCACTCTGCCTGAGACGACTTCTGATTCGCACCTCAGGAAAATAAAACCCTGTGCTCTGAGCCCATGCATTGCTACACCAATGCCTCCCGCCTCCTTCGCCAACCAAAAAACATCCTATTAAAAAAAAAGAAAAAAAAAAAAAAAAAAGGCAGCATTATTGTAACTTTGTCAAGCACAACACTCTCACAAGAAGAGGTAGCGATCCTTTGCAACGGGAAAGTATGACGGATTCCAGTTATATCTGGACGCGGACAACTTTTCCAGTCTACGTCTCCGAGAGTATTTTCACGAGCGCCCAAGTAATGTTGGCTGCTTCCCCCCCCCCCCCCCCCCCCCCCCCCTCCAAAAAAAAACAAAAAAAACGCTGGACATTGAGCAATTGAATGATCACATTCTTGGATATACACATAGAGGTGGTCCAGCGGAAAATTATAGTGTCATTTTAGAAAAAAAAAAAAAAAAAACTGCTTTGAAATACAATTTTTTACTTTCCGAAAACAATTGCATAAGAAGTCTTGGTACCAGAGCCAACATTGTTACTAAGCCAGCCGACAAAGGTAGTGTTACATATTTATTTATTAATTAATTTATTCACAAGACCTTACAGGCTCTTTTCCAGAGCATTGAGTAAAGGGGGTATTATACACATAAATTCACAAAAGAAAATAGAACAAACGCACATACGGTCTCACACAAAGTTGTCATGTAGGCACAGCATACAATGAAAACGCAACTAAGTACAAATTTAGAAACAAAAAAAAACAATAACAAAAAACACTGGACTGATATAAAAAGTTGTCAAGTTACGCAGAAACAGAATTAAGCTGAAGCGCATTGCTTCGAAAATAAGATTCAAGTTTAGCACGGAACAGTGTGGTCTCGGCAATGGTGACTATGGATTCGGGAAGGGCGTTCCATACGCGGATGCCACGTAGTACAACTGAGTTATTAAACGCGTTGGTTGACCCAATGAGGTGTTGAAAACTTTTACTGTTAGTGGTTCGATGAGGTGATCTATTAGGGGGTTAAAGGAAAGTAACGCTTGAAAAGCGATTGTTTTAATAGAACTTGTGAATTAGGCACACAGTAAAAATGGTTCGACGCACTTCAAGCAACGGCAGGGAACATTGATGTTTTAGGAGAGAGACACTCGTGCTATATGAATAGGAAGATGTTATAAAGCGTGCTGGCTCGAGTTTGGACTTTTTCAATGTGCGTGGTTAGGTATTTTTGATGAGGGCTCCAAATCGCGGCCGCATATTCGAGTTCAGGACGGACATATGTTTCGTAAGCGAGTCTGCGGAGATGGTTAGGGGCCGCTTTTAAGTTACGTTTAATATAACCGAGCGTTCCAAATGCGTCAGCGGTCACAGAGTTAATATGGGTGACCCATGAAAGGTTAGATGTAAAATGGACACCAAGGTACTCGTAGGATGAACATACGCTAAGGGATGATGTGCCTAATGTGTATGGGAACTGTGAAAGAGATCGTTTGCGAGTGAAGTTCATTACTTGTTGTGCTCAATACATACGCATACCTTACATAGTTGCGCTCAATACGCAGGACTACAATGATGAAGGACTCCGAAAACTAAATGACCCAACATTTTACAAAAAAAGCTTTCCATTGATCCATCATCGCGAATCAAGTCAGTTGTTCTCAGTATACTGTCCCACTTGAAAGACAACGCTGCGATAACTAAGGAAATGTTCCATTGTATAAAGCCCTGGCACCCCAGGCCTGGCCGCTTCTACACGCTACCCAAGGTACACGAGGAGAATAAGCCTGGAAGGCCAATAGTGTCTGGCATAGGCACAGTGACTGAAAGAATATCAAGTTGTGTTGACACATTGAGTAGAGAAATGCCCCCAACGTTTCCCTCGTGTTTAAGGGACACGAACCATTTCAACCAGGCATTGACGTACCCAAGATTTTTGATAACTGGGCTGCGGCGGGCCCCCGGAAAGGGGGGGAAGGGTTAGAAAAGCTGCGCATTTTTTTTTTTTTTTAATTTATTTCCGAGCTTAAGCTTTCGATTAAACGAACTTTGACGTGCTCTGTTGAGATTGGGGTGCTGCACGTGAAACTCGGAAATCAACCAATTTCGGAATTATTTCGACGGTACAAATTTTCATGATCCGTGGTGTAGTCGCTACCATGGGGCGAATTATACGCGGGACAAATTTCTCGTGATCATATTCTGAAATGGCGAAATCGGCGCAACGTAGGTATTTATGAAAACCAAGTTGTTTACCGTATCCTCC